AAAAAAAAAAAAAAAAAAAAAAAAAAAAAACGAACCAAAAAACACCAAAAACCCAAAAATCAAAGTGTTGAATGAATAACTCCAAATAAAGACCCTGCTTGATACAGTGAGTCATAAAATGCTTGTTAATATTTTATTACTTGTTTTTTTTTTTAAACAAAACGAGGATGGCTTCTTTTATTTACAATACTTAATGCATCTTACACATTTTCATTCCCTAAGTCTTTTGGAAAGTAATTCCAGTTTGTGCAATGAGTTTACAGAAAGTCGTAAGGTATCGACTAGACACCTTAAGCTCTAAACTCTGAGGTATTCACACTACATTAATAAAGGACTGTTTTCAATCAAGAAAAACTCAACTCTGTAGTTAAACATTGGCCCCTGGTACCTTTACCCTTACCACGAGGTGAACTGGCCTGTGAAATAACACCATTAGACTTGGATAAGCTGTCCTGCCCAGCCCTGCCCAGCAAGGTGCAAAGCAAACGAACGGTAAACCACACCGATCACGTTTTGTCTCAGCGCTTTCTTCTTGGACTCTCTCCACTGTGGCTGGGCTCACTCAGGCACAGAAATATTACTTGCTTTAAGTATGCATTGGTTACAAAATGAAAGTGGGGTCTGTAGTCCTAGAGAGTTGGCTTTAAGTCTATTATTTATTTATGGAGAGAGGGAAGAGTTGGGCCTTACATGGATATATATGTGAATAAATGAGAAAGGAAGATAACGAAGAACGTTTGAAAGTCAAAACTGTCCTAATTCCATTGGTCCATTTTAATCTAAAGTACAGATTTTTTCTGTAATTTAGGGAAGGGCCTACAGGGTGTTCAGGGTCTCACTACTAGATCAGATTTGTAGTGAGCCACCTGTTTACATCCTCCCAAGAGCTGGGATTATAGGCACGTGCCATCATGCCCAGTCTCAATTGGTATCTGAGCGTGCCCCAGGTGGGGCTGGCTTGGCTGGCAGGCCTGGGGATCGAACCCCCGGCCCCTGCGCCTGCTTGTAGGCATTTTAATCCACTAGGCTGTTTGGCTGGCCCTCAGATTTTTTTTTTTTTTCTCTTTTTTTAAATAAA